ACCCAGGCGCCCCTAAATAAATAAAATCTTAAAACACAAACTGCATGTCCCTTGAGGATAGGAACCCTATCATCTTCATTTTGGTATTCACAGTCCTAGCACGGTGCTAGCATGTTGTATGCACTTAATGATTGCTAAAGAACAGTAACTCGCTTACGCGGGTTTAAAGATCCCATCCAAGGGAAAAAAAAACACATTTTTTCACTTTTTCCATTCATGAGAATTTAGCCATATGTTAAATGTATCACCATTTCGGTAGCACAAGTAAATGATTAAATTTCATAAACACTACCACTACCAACTACTACTACTACTAACTACTACTATTACTACTACTACTACTACTACTACTACTACTAACTACTACTACTACTACTGACCCTTGGGTCCTCTTTGCTCCATGAGACAGACCCTCCAAGACTCCAATAAGGCTGCTACGTGATATCTGACTCTCCACACAGAAATGACTTTGCCTCACTCCCACACAAACCTATCCGGCTAAGCAGACGTGCTCGTGACCAATATCTGCCCTGAAGAGCAGCACTAGGTAATGCCTAGTCCATATTCAGATCGCATTCCAGGGCTCCTGCTTTGAGATCAAATGCCCCACCCAGCTGCAACCAATTGTGAACACACCCTTGTTACCTTGCAATCTCCTGGTGGTAATCATAGTGCTCATCCTCCTCCAGCCACTCCACAGATCCAGTGGTCGGATTGGCCCGCCCGCAGAAGACTTTCATGGTGCCAGTCAGCTCCTCGGTTTTAGCACAGAAACGCAGCCTTGCCAGCTCACTTCCTGTGGACAGGTCTAATCGTCTGAAATCTATTCACATCATAATACCCAAAATGGAGAGAAAAAAAAAAAATTTTAAAGACCAAAAAGAAAAAGGAAAAAAAAATCAAGAAATACACAAAACTGTCAAAGCCCCTGAAAATATTTGTTAATCAGTATTTTAATCTTTCCAGCAAGTTATCTGATTTTATATTCAGTATATAACATCAAAAACTATAATACATAAATTCATAAAGCTATCTGGAAACTTCAGCAGTCCTCAGTGATTCCAACACAGGTCAAATGAGCCTCAAAGTAAAGGCATGTGAGAAGAGAACTAAAGCAGAGGGAACAGGAGGCTGATAGGAAAGGGGAAACAGAGACTGGGGTGGTGGTAAAAGAGTGCCGCCCATACGGCCTCAGTATATCAAACACACTTAGTTTAAGGAAAAATAATAAAGGGACGCCTGGGTGGCTCAGTCGGGTTAAACGTCTGCCTTGGGCTCAGGTCATGATCTCAGGGTCCTGGGATCGAGCCCCACATCAGGCTCCCTGCTCGGCGGGGATTCTGCTTCTCCCCCTGCTTGTGTGTTCTCTCTCTCTGACAAATAAAGAAATAAAATCTTTAAAAAAAAAAAAAAAGGGAAAAATAATAAAGAGCAATTCAAACAAACTAGGAAAACCTTCATCTAAACAAATAAACCACAGCTATAAGCAAACATCCCAGAAATATGTTAAGCCAAAAAATAAGCAAATCACAGAATACATACAGTATGATTACATTTATATAAAATTATAATTATGCAAAACAAAAACCATATATCCTTTAGGGATCACACTAAAAAGCCATAGAAGGGAACGAGGACTGTGGTTACCCTTAAGAGGGAAAGGAAAAGCCTGGGATCAAGGAGGGCCACAGAGGGGACTTCAAAATAGCACTGTTTCTTCCATAAATGGGTGGTAGGATTAAAGAGGTTCATGATACTGTCATTTTTTATGCCTTACCATTTTTTAGTAACCAGTACTTCTTACTCAATGTTTGGTTTTAAAAGCAATTTTAAAAAGTCTTCATCTAGGGGTGCCTGTCTGGCTCAGTCTTTATAGAGTGTGCAACTCTGGATTTCAGGGTCTTGAGTTAGAGCCCCACATTGGGTATAGAGATTACAGAAATTTAAAAAAAATTTTTTTTAAAGATTTTATTAGAGAGTGCGTGCGCGCACAAACACGCAGAGGGGCAAAGGGAGAGGGAGAAACACACTTCCTGATGAGCAGGGACCCTGGGATCATGACCTGAGCTGAAGGCAGCCGCTTAACCCACTCAGCCACCCAGGCACCCCTAAAGAAATAAAAATTTAAAAGAATATTCATTTAGGGCACCTGGGTGGCTCAGATGGTTGAGCGTCTGCCTTCGGCTCAGGTCATGATCCCAGAGTCCTGGGATCGAGTCCCGCATCGGGCTCCTTGCTCCTTGGGAGCCTGCTTCTCCCTCTGCCTCTCTCTCTCTCTCTCTCTGTCTCTCATGAATAAATAAATAAAATCTTTAAAAAAATAAAAGAATATTCATCTAAAAAACATCCTTCAAATAAATGTTGCCAGATTCATGTCTTGTGTGCGCTATTTCCGCAGAGATCTACTTCTGACAGAGAAACACCACACCTCAAAGTCTGAAGGCACCTCTCTGCAAGTCTGAGCTCTTCCAGCATCCTGCCTCTTACCCTCAGAAAACATCAAGTGTTCCACACTTCCCTTCATTTCCTGTTAAACACTGATCCTTCTTCAGGAAACCTTAGAAAGAATGCCTACTCCATAGATCCTGAAAACGTCCCTAAGGCACTTAATTGGCCAGAATTACAGCCTTTCTCTTGAAGTTATCTAGACTAACTAAACACCCCGAACACTGAATTCTTACAAATGAGGACGGGGAAAATCTTTTCTGAAAAGACTGAGGCAGGGGCGCCTGGGTGGCTCAGTCGTTAAGCATCTGCCTTTGGCTCAGGTCATGATCCCAGGGTCCTGGGATCGAGCCCTACATCGGGCTCCCTGCTCCACGGGAGGCCTGTTCTCCCTCTCCCACTCCCCCTGCTTGTGTTCCCTCTCTCACTGTATCTCTCTCTGTCAAATAAATAAAATCTTAAAAAAAAAAAAGAAAAGACAAGACTGAGGCAGTCAGTGGTCTGGTTCAAAGTAGTCAATTTATCCTTCAGTGAAACTCGACTTCTAAAATCTCAGTGTATCCATCCTCTCATCTAGTGGCTCTCAAACTTTGTGGCAACCTCAGTAAGAAATATACTTTACATCAAGACACAACACACACACATAAACATAAGCTTTCACTAAACAGTATTTAGCCTTCCTGTCAGCAAGGCCCTCTGATATATTCTACTCTATTTCATTTTTTTTAAATTGATCATGATCTGGGGTGCCTGGGTGGCTCAGTCAGTTAAGTCTGCCTTTGGCTCAGGTCATGATCCCAGAGTCCTGGGATCAAGCCCTGTGTTGGGCTCCCTGCTCATCCAGGAGCCTGCTTCTCCGTCTCCCTCCACCCTGCTTGATGTTCTCTCTCGCTATCTCTGTGGCCAGCTCTGTCTCTCTCTCAAATAAATAAATAAAACCTTTAAAAAATAAATTGATCATGATCCACTAAACTGATTTCATAATTGGTGGGCTGCAACCTATAGGTTAAAAAGCTTTGCTAGAATCAACTGTGAACATCTCCTGCTAATTAAAAAAAAAAAAAGAGTACAACTATCAGAATCCATAATGTGCTTTAGAAAACTGTGTCCAGGGCGCCTGGGTGGCTCAGTCAGTTAAGTCTGCCTTTGGCTCAGGTCATGATCCCAGAGTTCTGGGATCAAGCCCCGCATCGGGCTCCCTGCTCGGCGGGAATTCTGCTTCTTCCTCTTCCACTCCCCCCTGCTTGTGTTCCCTCTCTCGCTGTGTCTCTGTCAAATAAATAAATAAAATCTTTAAAAAAAAAAAAAAGAAAGAAAACCGTGACCAAAAAAATGCTACAGTAGAAAGAAATGGCCACATCCGGCTGAATGTTCAGTGAAGACTTAAAAGATGGCTACGATTTAGGCAAGCATGGGAGGGAGAGGGCACTTCACCAGATTAGAAAGACTCAGTCATGCGCAGTGAATAAACCAGTTTAGCTGAAGTAAAACTGAACAAGGAGTCAAACATGTCAGTGGGGTACATACTGTGGAGAACCCTGAAACCCTTATCCTGTGGGGTATGTGGGATCAACTCTGAAGTCATTTATTTTTTATTTTTTTAAAGATTTTATTTATTTGACAGAGAGAGAGAGACAGCGAGAGCAGGAACACAAGCAGGGGGAGTGGAAAAGGGAGAAGCAGGCTTCCCACCGAGCAGGAAGCCCGATGCGGGACTCGATTCCAGGACCCTGGGATCACGACCTGAACCGAAGGCAGACACTTAATGACTGAGCCACCCAGGCACCCAACTCTGAAGTTATTTAAAGGTTAACAGTGTAGTATTCTAATCTATGGAATTCCCTTTTTGTCTGTGCTCTTGCTTGGGCTTTACAAAGGACTACAGTTTTTTTCACACCGGAGAGGTTACTGGTTTCATATAAATGTAAATAAATGCTTGCAGGTGGGAAACATGTCCTGTAACCTCTCTGGGTGAGAACTACACATCTACTGAGAAATCCCCTCATTTATTATTACAACTTGTCTTCTCCCAAAAGGAGCCACACTCCAGATTCAAGAGATATTTTGACACCCCCCTCCTCATTCTCCAAAACCTGTCAACTCAAGTGATGGTTTATAAGGAGGGAATGGAAACCACCCTGCCAGGCCCCAAGTGGATTACCTGTCAGACTTCAGAGCAGGTATTTGGTTCATTCATTCAAAATTTTAGTAAAATTTACACAATGCCAAACACCGCATTTGGGACTGGAGGACTCCCATAAACAAAAAAAGGAGATCTTTGTCCTCCAACAGATTAGGTTTTCATGAGGGAGAGACTAAGGATAAACAATCCCAGACTATGGGTGCAAGAAAGGAAATATGCAGGATGCTATTAAAAAGAGTAACAAGGCTATGGAAAGACTGAGGAAGGTGGCATTTAAATTGAGACATGCAAGATAAGCCAAGTTAAAAGTTATGGAAGAGTAGTGCTTATGTTTCTGGAAACCTTAGCCCTACTTTTCCCTTACCCCTATTTTCCGTACGGGGGGAAAAATAACTAAGTGCATAAGCAAAAGCTGACAAAAGCCTGAGTGACTGAAGCACTCTGAGCAGAGGTAAAATAGACTATACCGGTGGGCTTCTGCAAATCACACTGGGCCAAGCTGGGTTCGGAAAGATGTTTGGATTTTGTTCTACATGCACTGGGAGCCACTCAAGAGTTTTAAGCACAAAAATGTCCACGTCAGATGTACGCTTTTACAGGGCCGCTCTGGCTAACGTGTGGTGAATGGACCGGTTTCCAACTACTCAACACGGTGACTGGGAAAAGCGAGCCCATAAGCAGTTCCCTGAATCCGAGAAACGTGGCCCAGCTAGGGGTGCGATGCTTGGAGCTCCGTATGATTGCGGTTCGAGTCTCTGTCGCTGAGAGGAGGCGCCAAGTAGTATAATCCAGGTCCCCGTGGAGGTCACCGAACAGAACCGTATCCCAGTTCTCTTGCCAGCCCAGGAGAGGCTCTCAGCCGCCCCATAAAGACTCTAGAAAGGTCCTCGAGAATCCGAAACAGACGGAAACCCTGGCGGCCCAAAACGCCCACGCCAGGTCCGTCAGCCCGAGACCTTGGGCTGAGAACAGAGGATGGCTGCCCTCGGGACTCTACTGCGACCCCACCTTCCCAACCCGCCCAGGGCCTCACCCGCCGCAGAAACCGTTCCGTTCACTTCCGCCGCCGCCTCCACCTGGCCGCGGCTGGCGAGAGGGGGCGGGACCTCCCAGCGTCCGCTGAGCGTGCCGGGAGCGAGGCCCGGAAGCGGAACTTGAAGGCTCTCCCGTCGCACCCCACGCGTTCCCACAGTGCTCCGCGACAGCCGCTATGGAGGCCGGCAGGACTGCAGTGCTTCGCGTGAAGCGGAAGCGCAGCGCAGAGCCTGCCGAAGCCCTTGTCCTCTCTTGTAAACGCCTCCGGAGCGGCGCCGTCGAGTCGGCGACCCAAAAGACACCCCCCGAGGATCTGGAGAGAGGGCCAGAGAATAATGTCTTCCAATTGGTGGCCACTGTGCGCTCCCAGGTATTGGGCGGGATGGAGCCGGTGTTTGAAGGGGATCTTAGGGCACTGCCGGGACGAAATTGTATCCCTGACCCGTTGACGAACCTCCTGCTTACGCCGGCTTCCCTCCCCTACCACCTTCCAGGAGGAGCCAGTCCAGGCGCTCGTTCGAGCCGCCCTGCGCCCTTCCCGGGGCAGCCAGCAGCGTATCCGCCGCGATCTCCGCGCTTCGGCTCGGGAGATCCGGCAGGAGGGCCGCTACAGGGTGATCTCTGGCCGCCGGTCCTCGGGGATTCCCTCGGGTGGCCCAGAGTCCGAAGACGCACCGGGAAACCCAGAAGCATCCGAGGACGCAGGTTTCCAGCTGTTCGACCTGGTCCACGAGGAAGGAGACCCAGAGGCCGTCGCCACCGCAGGCTCCTCCAAAGTGAGTACCCGCCCAGAGAGCACTGGGCTTCCCCGGACTGATAGTGCCAGGAGTCTGGGCGTTAAGTCAGCACATAGTTAAGAGGAGGTACACGGCTTCGCCTTACTGATGGATGATCTGTCAGCCCTGGTAACCTCGTTTTGCAGGTTAGGTTATTCATTCAACAAGTATTTACTGAGTGGCCACTATGTGCCAGGCATTGTTCTTAGGTTCTGTGGATATAGTTTGAGGACTTAACACTCATTTTTTTTTTTTTTAAGATTTTATTTATTTATTTGAGAC